GCGCAAAACACCTTAATTAAATATTCTTCTCCCTAAGTCCTTTTATGCTTCCCAATTGAGCTTGTGTTATGTCTGACTGTAATCCCCTGCCTTCTCCCGTGTGTACCTGCCTTAATCAATTAATTATAGCTAGGCCTATCTACCTGTAGGTTGGAAGGCCCCCATTGTAGGTTCTACTTCTTTGCATTCCCTCTTGTTTCTGTCTTTTAATTTCCCCCTACTCTAAAAAAGGCCTTCATACATGTGTATTGTGGGTGGTTGACGGATGCTCTGCTTTGGTGTGATTCTCTCCTTCTTTCATACTCAAGTATCTATTGTCCTTATCTCTCCTCCTTTTCTTTGAATTTTATTTTCTGTGACACCTCTAATCTGCGGTATTTATGTGACATATTTGTGTTGCAAGTGACATAAAACTTGTACTAAAACTAAAACTAATGGCCGTTATTGTGTGGATGCGCTACTCTTTACCCAAGGGCTCTCTTGCTGAGAGTTTCCAGGGCCCGAGTCAATACCTTCTCCCGTCTCGTGAACCGTGCTGTTTTCAGACCTTTTAGCTTTGGATCCCCCAATGACCGAATGTCTCATTTGTAAATTTTTTTTTGGTGCTTTTTAATCTAAAAGAAAGTCTAGTGGGTACGTATTACATCTGTCGCCTGGCGAGCGAGTTCTATCCTATTCTATGTATTTGTTTCAGCTGCCCTGCCTGAGAAAGTAGGTGGTGGTGGGGGAATGTTAATGTTTTATTCAGGAGCTGCTGAAAGGTCACGGGGTGCTTGTATTCGCAACACAGACAAGCGGTTCAAACGATTCAACACACGATGCCGTCCAAATGGTGTATTGTATTGTGTCATCAGTATTCCGATTGTCTTCTTTTAGATTTGTTTATATGATCTTGGCTAGTTGAATTGATTTCTTGTTAATTAATTAAACTGTGATATTGCGGGTTGTTGGAGGGTGCCACTGGTAGGTCCGACTTTTTTACGTTCCTTCTGTTGTTTCTGTCTGTCTTCTTACTTTTTCTCAGCACGATATGGCCGTCATTGTGTCGGTGTGCTTCTGTTTACTCAAATGTCTTGATGTTTGGGCCGAAAGCTTTTCAAAACAATAAAAATCGTGATAACTAAAAAAATCTCTTTACTCAAACTCAAATTGTGATATTTGAATGTTGTAGGGTTAGTTTGGTCTTGAACATCTTGCTCTGACTGGAAAATGGGAGGAAAGAGGCAATTGTAGATGTACAGAACTTGAACAGATGGATGTTTAAGAAAGACCAGATTAATATAGGTTTTTCACAGAGAATTCGAGCGGAGACAATATGTATGGCTAACCATGGTCGCAATATCGGTTTCAGACGTGATACTTCATAATGATGATGGGGCTAGCACTTCCTCAGATGAGCATTTCTTTCCAACTGTTTCACCTTGTGCTTGTTTTAAAAAGAACATCATGGCGGGTGATTGGAGTGTACTTTGATTTGCTACCTTCCACGTAATTTCAGTATTTTTGTCCAGCTCTTTCGCGGCAATAAACAACCTGTATGGTTTGGATGTGACTCTTTCGTTACTCAAAGAACAAAGAAAGGACTTAACCAGGACTATTTTCGTTTGTTGCTTTTTTCCCCGCAAATCATCAGAGCAAAAAGTGTGAAACTTGTATTCGGGTACAGTAATGCGATGTTATGCCAACCGCTTCACCAGAAGAAAAAAAAAAGGAGGGGAGGGAGATGTTAAAACATGTACGCCCGCTCGGGCTTCAGGGCTTCATCATGTATGTCATTGTGTACTAAGGATTCTCTTGGTTAATGTACTTGTGCATTCACATTCCTCTCTCTCTCCCTCTCTCTCTCTCTCTCTCTCTCTCTCTCTCTCTCTCTCTCTCTCTCTCTCTCTCTCTCTCTCTCTCTCTCTCTCTCTCTCTCTCTCTCTCTCTCAGTCTGCCCCTGTGTGTGTGCGTGCGTGCGTGCGTGCGTGCGTGCGTGCGTGCGTGCGTGTGTGTGTGTGTGTGTGTGTGTGTGTGTGTGTGTTTCGCGCCAGTTTAAGTCCATAACAGGAATGTTTTTCTTCAGTCAGCGTGTCAAAAGTCACGTTTACCTTTCTGTACTGAAACACGCTGTTTCCTCTTTCCCCTTACGAGCTTTTTACCAGATGTCTGGTGTAGCTCCTTTCTGTGTTACTGTTGTCGTAAATTGTCCGTGGCGAAATGTTGCCATTACCTTGCAGACTCTATGTAAACTACCTTTCCACTCTACTTCACTGGACTCTTACCTTCTCAGGGTGCTCTGTTCGGTTTGTTGGTTCTGTCAGTGTCTTGCTGGGCCATGATGTGAACGACCCGAGTTGGAATCTCTATCAGAACGTCGTGGGACTTGTGGTTGTTTGTGTTTTCATGGTTACTATTCCTCTTGGTCCGGTCCTGTCGGTTGATGGGCGTTTTATTCGAGGGCTTGTCTCATAATTTTTTTTACGTTCCACTGATGGTTGGGTAGGGTGCCACTGGTAGATCCTGTTTCTTTTTGTCCTACTATTATGTCCGTCTTTCTCTTGCTATTTCTTTACAGTGAGTGAGTGTTTGCCCTTTGTCCTACTTTAAGAAGATCCGTGCTACTACTTTTCTTTCCCTCTGCTTTCCCCCTGCAGCAGATGGCCATTGCTGTGTGGATGGGCTTCTTTTTACCCCCCCCCCCCAACCAAACTATCCTTATACTCATACCATATTTTTATATCCAATTTTTTCAGAACAAGGTTTGAGAATGGAACCCACGCCGCCTGTCTCCTCTAACCTAGAGGTGTCCCCTGGTGCCTCTTCCTCCTCCTCGGATGCCTTACCACGTACCCCGTGGTCTCGCCGGTTCCTCATGCTGTTTGTCCTGCTCCAGTCCATGCATGTGACCAGCAGCGTTACAGGGGAAGAGACGCCTGAGGCTGACCAGAGAGTGACCGCTGACGTGCTGGCCTCGCCCGAGGACGATGCCCTGGCCAAGGTCCAGTTGCCGCGCAAGCTGCCCAGTATCGTGGAGATCAAGAAGGTTTGTGGGAGTATGGCGTACTGTCATCATTTGTTTTGTTTGCTGATGTTGGATGGGTTTCATGTAATACTTGACAGACTTTGATGTCTTGTCCAGCTCTGTGGAGATCAAGACTTGTATCATACTATTATTTATTACGCTGTTTGCTCAGGTAGATGACTCACCAACTGGCCAAACTGTCATGTTTTGTATTGTTGTTTTCGTAAGAGCTTCATGCTCTACTAGTATAAGACACTTTGATAACTTGATCTGCCTTATGAAGATGAAGAAGGTTAGTGGGTTGGGTGTTTGTTTACTCATTGCCACAATTTGTTTTATATTTTGTTGCTGCATTGTAATTACATTTAGCACATGGGTGGTTGGAGGGAGCCTCTGGAAGGCCTTACTTTTGTTCTTTCCCTCTATTGTCCTAACTCTCTTTATTGATTTTCGTGGGTGGTTGGCAGGTGCTCTGGTGGGGTTTTCTTCTTCTTTCCAATCAAACATCTATCGTCCTTATCTCCTCTTCTTCTTTTTTTTGTTTGTTACTCTCTTGTAACACCTCTTATCTTCTGGCGCTCATATGACCTTATGCAGTTGCGATCGTCGTAAAACCTCTACTAAAACTAAAAACTTATTGATTTTTCCCAGCACCTGATGACTGTTATTGTGTAAATGTTTGTCTCTTTTCTCAAACAAAACAAACAGGTGGTTTTATATTTCCTTCTAAATAAAAATCAATAATTGGCCCAACTTTGTGGAGATCAAGAGGATTGAGGAGGGAATTTGAAAAGACTGTCACTATTTGTTTTGTTTATCGTTGCTTGAACAGGTTCATGCCATAATACACGGACACTGATGATTTAGAAGACGACACAATTCTTGTCTCAGTAGGAAGAACAAAGCAGGCAACGAAGACAGTCCTGTACATTTTCATTTGTCTTATTCCTTTACTTAATGAAAGGGGCTACACCTTAGGTTGCTGTGGCACTGGCTCTATTAATATATTCCTTTTCATCATATTTCTTTTACGTCAAAGAGCATCATTGTTACTCTTCTCTATAGGTCAGTTACTTTTTATCTTATTGTTGTTATTTTATATCTGCTGTTAGTTTTCATCGGATGCAGTTCTGCTATACTTTTTACCATTGTTTCATTTATTGTTTTTGCTTTTTGTCCGACTGGCTTCATCCGAAGCACTAAATGACCTTCATAATCTCGCTGTTCACCTCATTAATCAAACATCCTCCTTCCTTGGGTGACTACTGGGCGTTCTGGTTTGGTTTGCTCCTTCTTTCCCATCAAACAGATTGTCTGTATCCTTCCACCTTCTCTTCCTTTGTACATTACTCTCTAGTAACACCTAATCTTCAGCACTTAAAAATAATATGACATGTTTGTGTTACAAGCAAGTGTCATAAAACTTGTAATTTTGTGTGTGTTGCAAATAGAGTTTAACCTTGTGGGTGGTTGGCGGGTGCTCTGGTGTGGTTTGCCCCTTCTTTCCTATCAAACATCTTTTGTCTTGATCTCTCCTTCTTTTTTATGTTTGTTGCTCTTTTGTAACACCTCTAATCTTCGGCACTTATATGACCTTATTGTGTTGCAAGTGCCATAAAACTCTTACTAAAAAAAAAGTTTCTTCTTCACTTAAAAACTAAAGCGATCCTTTCTTTCCCTTCCCTTCCTTTGATGGGTGGTTTGGGGGGGGGGGGGGGT